TAGTTAGAATAGGTTATAGCTAAACCTTTTATACACTGGTACTCAAAATCAATATATTACAACTTTAATAATAACTATCAGATGAAATAATATATTCAGGATGAACTAAATGATAGAAGGGTCAGAAAACAATTTCTTCAGTTCTTTCAGAGTGCAATGTATGATCATCTTATTATTGTAGGTTAAAACAAAAGACTCAGATTATAAAATGATTGATTATTTATTCTCAAATCAGAATTCTTTTTTTACTATTATGTTTCAGAAAAATAGTAAATGTACTTTCATTGCAAAGTAAAATACTAAGTTCTTCCTATTTTATAATAAAATAGCTGGTCAGTGGTCACCTTATCAGTTTCTAGTTATAAATACAATAGATTCCTTCAGGAATTGAACCTTTCCACATCATAAATAATGTATAATTAGAATCTGTATTTGATCTGGAAGATTATTTGAGTAAATTAAGAATCCTTGTTTATCAAAAATACTATATGAATCTTATATCCAAAAGGTTTTATAATTTGAGAGCCTTCATGAGCAAGAGATATTTTTACCTTTCTTAGTCTATGATGCATTCATGAGTTTTACTGATATTTTCAATGTTTGCCAATTTCCATATAGGTGTAATATATGTCATGGTATGTAGAATGGTGCTCCATATGCATGTTACAATATTATGGACATAGAAATACATGCTACAAGCCTGCTTGATAAATAATCTATAAATCAAATAAGAATCATATTGATCAAATGATGTGTAATTCAGAGTCTATGATTAATTTGAGAACTGCTGCCTTATTTGGACAATGCTGACACCTCTATTGATTAGATCCTTCCACCATTACCGTGGAGATATATTACTACGCATTCCATTACACATCAAGATAAATATTTTGATAATGGAAGACGCTTGTTGAACAGTGAGGTATAATAAGGTATATTATTGATCTCGGAGGTCTACAACTAGCTACCACCAATCAATAAATACATCATATTACAAACTTTCAAAATATTTATCATCCTTGTAGAAGATAATTGGCCAGTATTTTATGTTATTTATGGAGAATGGGATATTATTTTAAGTGCAATTTTACAAATCCATTCTCCACTCTTCTCTAAGTATATTCTTATCTTTTCAAAACCATTACACACTTATACTTATAATTGTCAATTTGTCCTTTGTCCTTCTGTAAGAAGCAGACATTTTCTCTCTCAGCAGTTTAAAACGTATCATATTATCTTAAGAACATAGTAATCTTCTATGATCTTGATTCAAGTCCAATTTCATGAAGTGAAATGGAGTTTTTTTTCTACTTTTCTTCACCTGATTCACCCTCTTCACCTTCCCATTCAAGACCAAAAACATTTCGATCCCACAGTCCCACATGTACATTTCAGATTGCTCAGCACCTCCACAAAAACATCAGTAAAATTTGACAATTTCAGTCACCTATTAAAGAACAGTACTAAAGCAAGAATAAAGCTAAGAAAATGAACAGCCCATATGAGAAGCCTGGAGCTACTAACAACACTCAAGGAAGACCTATTTTAGGGATGTGACAGACCCAATAATCAAATTAATCAAATGATAACTCAATCTTCCCTTGATCTTATTAACCTCAGAAATTTTAAAACAACTTCTATAGCTTCCTATTCTGTATTGGACATTGCTTTATTAATTACTGAGACTACAGCACCTGAGTCCAAGAGGCAGCTTGGGAAAACCAGAAACTGCAGATGAATGTTGTCTTGCAGAGGCAATGTCATTCGAATTTCATGATTTTATAACTCAGAAGTTTGAGTTTTTAAAATTTGCCATTGTAGTCTGATATGTACATCGTTAGTTTTATAAAATATGTCTAAAATAAGAATTTTTTTTTCTTTGGTTTATTTTTTGTTCAAACTGTATCAAGTTCAAACTGTATCAAGTTCAAACTGTATCAAGTTCAAACTGTATCAAGTTCAAACTGTATCAAGTTCAAACTGTATCAAGTTCAACGATGAGCGTATCATTCCACTGAAGGTGTAAATGCAAAAAGTCCACTTATGAAACATCAAACCATGATTCTTGAGATGAATGAAATAATTCAGGTGCCTTATCGGAATTGATCATTACAAAGTACAGGTAAAACACCACGACAATAACAAACTAGTAATAATTCAAAAAGATAAGAAACTGTTACAAATTAGTTTTCTTTATAAAACCCTCATCATAAATCAGAAAATAACAAGAAAGTCTGAATTGACAAGATAAACCCCAGCTTCATTATCTTACCCTTACTGAAAGACATTGTTCAAAACCTTGATTTATTTACTTATTATCTCTCAAAACATCAGACATCTCCACAAGATTTGCCGCTAATCTTGGCCACGCGACTCAAAAGATCTCTTTTCTTAACTCACAACGCTTCAACGCCTAACAATATAATACTCTCACACCTGGCTAGATTTGAACCTCCGTACAGGCGTGATTATAACTACAACCAGGTAAAGAGTATAATTCCCCCAGGGCTGGGAGATCGTCCAACCATCTGTGATAAAACATGGTCATATCAAACGATCCCCAGATCTCAAACAAAGAAACCGTTAGCAATTTTAAAGACACTTAAGCGAAAGAGATTAAAAAGACATTTTTTATTCACGGGACAAAAAAGGCGTGATGAGAGGGCATTATTGTAACTAATTCTTATCGTACAAACCATTATTACTCTCTTAGATTAGAAAGAAAAGGGGTCTGATTATTAATATTGAACAAAAAAGAGTTTTAAGGATGGCAAAGATTTCATTTAAAAGATAAGTGGTTGGAAGAAATCGTAAAAGGAAATTTTATTGTTTGTTTTGAAAATCAAAAAAAAAGATTTAGAGTTATCTTTTGACAACATTAACCGAATCGTTCAGAAGAAACAATAAGATATGAGAGATTTTACGCCCGAGTTTAATGGGGAGGTTGATCACCCTATAAGGTCGCATGGAGAACAATACATTGAGTGGCTAATCCACTTTATACTTGATTCAATCAGCACAAAAATGACAAATCAACATTTGTGTTTATTTGTCTTTTTGTCACCCATGATGAATGCCCTTTTTAATAAAAAACACAAACTTAAGATTTCAAGTGGGGATTTTTTGTGAAATAATAGATTTTCTTATCAAAACCTTGCCTTCATTAATCAAATGTTAAAAGTATCCTAATTATTTTAATTGTGTCTTTTTTCTTCAAATAAAGGTGCACTACTTCAGATATCATAGCTTGCCACTTGATTTTCACAAATGGCTCAGATTTGATTAAGAAAAATTATCTCTTTAAGCCTGCAGATTTTTTTGAATAAAAAGAAATTTGAAATATCACCTCTTGAGAATTTAAGATTTTTTTATGAAAAATAATTTTTCAAGTTGACATTGAAAGAAAAGTGTGATGGCAAGGTGCAAAAAGTAAAGAGCCTAAATCAAGAAAAAACGACTTCATTAAGAGCAATTGAACATCAGAGCCACCTTGTCCATCTCAGCAGTATGCCATGCTCTGATAATACACATCTTTCAAAAGTATTTTAAAAACTGCTTTAGAGAAATAGACAAAATTGTTTCAAGTATAATACATGTTGTTTTAAAAATCTCAAAATTATTACAGAGAATGTCAAAATTGACAGGCATCGCAGCAGAAAGAGATCAAGACAATGTGTGCTCTGACTATCAAGTCCCATAGTCAATTGATATGACAGTTTTAGCTCATTATTTAATACTTTTGTGAGCTTTTTTTGGTTTCAAATTTCAACTCCTATCACCCATTCAAGCAAACTAGACAAATACAGTTGAAACTTAAAGCCGATTTTGAATGCATTGAAAACATTATCATTGTAAATAATTTAAAGTTCACAATCAACAATTTCGCACTTTACAAATTGATATTTAAATTTCACCACCAATTGTCATACCTTGAATATATTTAATTTTAATATGAATCATAGCAAGGCGGCAACGTGGGTAAAAAATACAATTTATCAACTAATTTTATAAAATTCCAAACACAAAATGTCACCGAATGACATTTAATACCTGCAATAGGTGGCGCTACCTACTTTACTATTGCTCTCGGAATTCTTGTTATGTTTAAAGGTCGAACCATTTGGTGACAGAAAACCAAGCTCTCTTGATGATAACAAGTGTCATGTCTTTTTTATTTCCACAATGAAAAACCAATAATCAGAAAATTGAGATGGACTTTTTACGCCAAGTTTCTTTGGCATAACACTTTCACAAGATGGCTATATACTGTTTCATAAAAAATATATATGACAGGATTATTCTGATAATGCTAAACAAAATGTAATACTATTATCCAAATCACCACACTTATATTAGCATGTGAACACATTTGCTCATGTGATTAAATTTACCCCAGGAGTTAAGAGACATGAGTAAAAGTATATTTACTACACCTGGACCCCGTTTCTCAAAATATCGTAGCTATAAATCAACAATTTGATAACGTTAAAAACAACATTTTTCTTCACTTAATGTGCAAGTTTAGTCATACGATATTTTGAGAGCCGGGTCCTGATGAGGTCCAGTAATTATATGCTTTTGGAGTAAATTTTGTCCATGAGCTGAAGTAGTTATTGGTAACCTGGTAGTTCATAGTTTGATCAAATGGATGCTTTGGGACTGTTAGTTTGCTAGTTGAGAGATCTTCAGATCTATTTGGGTTGAATGACATGGCGATGAAACTGCCCTTACAAGTGTGAGAGGGCCTTAACATTTGAATACTATATATACCTACTCTACCAGTATAGGATCATTATAATAATTAGAAGTGGTTAATTAGTTAATTACTAATTAAACTAACTAGCCACCTGACCTTTACACAATCATACCGTTTAATTTACTATTTATTCACATATCATACCTTTTCAAACCAAAACATGGAAATATGGCATCCACCACATTTATTTCCAATTTTTTTCAATGAAAATTTCTCCTATTTTAGGTTTTATCTGGACTTGTATTTAAACCATTAAATCTTGATAATGGCTCATTTTAAAGATTCTACCAGATGCAGCCTAATAAATAAAATAATCACAATTTATCAATCAATGAATTTGTTTCCAGCAATCTAAATACAGAGAATTGATAAGTTAATCTGACATTGCCAGAATTCCCTCATTTTCTTCTTGAGTTCGATACACGCCCCACAATGTATATGGACTAATCGAAAAAAGGTTCTATGCCTCACAGACTCAAGACAAGTGAAAAATGACAAATAAATGACAAATAATTTACTGTCTAATTATCAAAAAAAAAAAAAAAAACTCGATTTAGAATTTTACTACCTTTACAATTGTTATTGACAAGACCACAAAATGATTGAGTCCAGAATAAAATAATCAGGGCCTAATCTTATCTCTTAATAGCAGGAATCTTAGAATAACCTTGCTACAACCTTGATAAATATATATTCTATATACAGGTAGTAGTCAGGTTACCATGGAAACGAGGTGGTCGACAACACGTCTTTATTGAGTATTTTATACAATATTGGAATAAAAGGCGAATACTATCGTACCGGTACTATAGCTTCCATATATAATCAAGGTATCATTCCAATACACAGTCAGAAATATCAATAAACCCGCATTTTGATTCAATATCTGAAACCTGTCTATAACTTCTCTTCCTTCTATTTTAGAAACCTGTTATTATGGCTAAATATAGCTCTCACTCGACCCATTTTGACAATTCTGCTAGTTTAGTCCAATCATTATAAAATATTATCAAATTTTGAACACTTTGATATAAAATTCAGATATTTTCTACCATTATGTTATTGAATATTTTCTTTTTACAACGTAAAACAACTATTTGAATTTGAAGACATATATATATACATTTTGAGCACTTACTCATAGGTCATAAGTTAATGACCTGAACAATTATGTTTTTTTAAAATTTAAATTTATGCAACAAAAATGGCATAAGTGCAAATTAGAACAAGAAAGTTTTTCTTTTCTGATTTCTTCATTTCTCTGATTTTTTTGGGGCTATATTTTTAATAATTAAGATCAATAATACTAAAGACACCATTTATTTAAATAATTAATCATGAACAGTAATAAATGGTTTAAAAATACATTAATATTGAGACATTGGATCATTTACATAATCATATTCAAATATTAATCAAATTTAATGTTCAACTCTAAGACTCCTTCTTGTTAACCCGACGAACAGCTTGTGAGGTTGGGATACCTGATCCCTTAGGAGTTAGTCAGAATCATTAGGGCTCAGCAGGGACATCAATCTGGTACAATGTCTACTGTGTTAGATGAAGAAATTGCTCTTGGATTGATACTAGATAGTGAAATTTTTTTAACAGTAGTTAAAGAATCATCAGAGTCTAAGTTTCCATACCTATCTTAATCAACATGCTTTGGTTCAAAAACCTAATTCAATTTTTATCAGGTATTCTTCTATATGAAAAGAGATAAATTGGTGCCATGGTACCTACTCAAGCTAACAAAGATAAGAGAAATGTAAACCCAGGTAAAAGATTAATTATGTCTCACACTGGCAAGTCAGCAAAAACTTATCAGTGCAAAAATAAAACAGGCCTACTCCCTACAACCTGATATATATATTGTTCAATACTCAAAAATACTTAAAATGAATTTGTGTTGATAAAAATTGAAAATACCAACTCTCTTGAAGTATGTATAACAATAGAAGCTTAAAAAACCTAACTTTTTGTCTAGATTCAAGACTTGTCATACTGTTTTGAAGTTGATATTCAATCTACATAAAACTATTGTTAAAAGACAGTTAATATTAGTACAGATAATTAGAATTCCATTTCAAATACTTACACTGTAAAATCTTAATCATAGTATTGCCTAGCAAAATACGCCCACTTCCCTGATACATTTTCATTATATCCAGGGTGTCAAATCCAATTTGAGCAAGATATTTTTCATTTAAACAAACTCACAAAATTTAATAAAATTGGGACATAAACTGCATGCGTGGGCATATAAAAATGAATTATTAATTTCTGAACAACAAAAAATTAATGCCCAAACAGTACACCATTATAAGGATGTCATTTAGATACATTTTAGGATTCAATGTTAATAATCGCTGTTTTTTGTATTCCAATTAAGTTTTCTTGCAATCTAAATTTCAAATAACCTCAATGTTTTGATTAATTCAGATTCAAGATTCTCTTTTCTTTTAAATTCTTCTCAAATATGAGTCATGGGATATAAAGTGACAACTGCCAATTCTACCTTCATTCACTGGAGAGCAGATTCATTTCCTGTTAGGTGGAGCCACAGTATAAATTTTGAATCCAGCGTGTGATGAAAGGTATCAATTTACTTGCGATTCCTGATTTTCGAATTCTAAAGATATGAGCAATCATCATTCTCGCCTTCTGAAAGTGTTCTAATAATTATACATCTCAAATCTAATTGAAAAGACAATTTTCTTTTCCATTTGATGGATGAATTACACCTAACAATATAATTTTCTACTAAATCAACAACAATATCTCTAATCACACATTAAATGGTTCATTCCTATTAAAAATATTTCCCACTTTGTAATAATTATAACTCTTACAAACAAAGAACTGAGAAAAACTTGTCTGATTTTCAATGTTTTTCAAATTGATGGAATCCATTTTGGTCAACTTTTTGTTTCAAGGGAAATGTTCAAGAATGATCAAGAAAGTTATTAACTTTCAAACTTATTTAATATTTCAACATCAAATGTTTTTTTATGAGACACAAAGTCTTATTTAAGGTAAGAATGTCTGTTCCTATGAATTACACCAAGAAACAATGAAGATATGATCTGATGTAAAAACTTTTACTGTTATTCACACAACATTTGGTCTGAAGAAGTTTGTGTTTGTTTTGTTAACAATGGCCAGTAATGGATGAAAAGAAAAAGGAGTTTTAAGGAGCTTCGTTACTTGAGATTCAGACGGGATGAAAATAGGGAAGAATTGTTGATGAACTATTGTCAATATTGAACATCCAACAAACTTATTAATTTGATTTTAAACGAGTTTGGTCACATGATCACGAATTATAACGGAATAAATCTGATTCTGTTTACAGATGACAGATTTGGCAAACAGAATGCATGATGGGAGTGTGTCCGCTTCAAGAGACCATGTTGATTTAGTTTTAAGTTCCGTGATTAAATTGCCTGAATTCAGCAAGGGGAGATAATGCTGATTAACTATGTTGACAATAATAAAATTAACGTCTCTCGTTACAACAAATAATCTATTCACAATATTTCTAATCATTCTGATATTTCACACTTTACCCATTTCTTTATCAATGAATTTAATAACTTTAAGCCCTCGGCAAATTTACTCCATTTTTTACTGATTTCTTTAGGACTTTAAAATCATTCAAGTGCAGTGTCTTTGTGTTTGAATAAAATACAAAGAAATAGATCTTATTACATTAAGATGCATGTGGCCTGGAATAGATGGATCAATAAAAAAAATTTCAAATCACGGTAAATTCTATTTTAACTTTAAATAGTGCCGGTATTGATTTGAAATCATCTTAAAATTAAATTAAGAATATTTTGACATATTTCAATTAAAAATTGGATGCCAAAGGTCAGGTTCAACTGATATCATTTGTATCTTCACCTTCAGTAATGGTCCAGCCATCTTTAATTTCAAAATTTCAAGGTGTCCTGATAAAAAAGGTATAGTGTATCCAGAATAAATTTAAGTGAAGACAAAACATACCTAATTAGAGATAAGAGATTAATTAAGATTTTATTTAATTAGTGAGGTGTAATTGGCATCTAATTCAGTTTTAAATCCATGAATAAAACTTTCTGCAAAGTGAATCTTGTATGAATATCATTTAGAGAGCAATAAATTGTAATAATTATCCCTTATAAACATTGTTAGTCTTCCAAAACTATTATAATTGTCTAATATTTGCTTTAAAAGCTGACACAGAGCTCAATTTCAGCTATCTGTATCACTTTTAAATTTTCAGGAAAAAAAACACTGTTGAGGTAGAGCTATTTTAGTTGTGAAGCAGGGCAATATCGGCAGTAACCATCAGCTTCTCCATCAATTAATTCGTTGAAGATGAAGATATTCGATTGTTATCTGTTTTTAATTCCCTATTTTATATTGTCATGATCATTGGGGTCTGCCTCAGACTACAACCAAAAGACTTTCATTAATATTCAGCTTTTACCATTTAATGTTGTAAAGTAATTATTTCCATGATTTTTATGGTTTTAAAAGTAATTTTGGACTGCATTTAGAAGTTTTATAATGTCAAGCTTGTATTAATATGTTGCTATAAAATATTGTAAATTAAATCACCATATATATAATAATACAAGGTATGATAAAATTGTTATTTCAAAATGGCAAAGGTGAGTGAGGTAATTTTACAAAGTTCACTTTTACCTTCATACACTTACCATCATCCCAATATCAGTATCAGTAGGGTTGTTCTTGACAATTGATATACTTCCCTGAGAAAAAAAGAGATAAGAACCAGAAAAGATATCTGTAAGAGTTGACAATACTTGATTAAGGAAGATACCTGTAAGAGTTGACAATACTTGATTAAGGAAGATACCTGTAAGAGTTGACAATACTTGGCTAGGGAAAATATCTATAAGAGTTGACAATACTTGTCTAGAAAAGATATTTGTAAGAGTTGACAATACTTGGTTAGGGAAGATATCTGTAAGAGTTGACAATATTTGGCTAGAAAAGATACCTGTAAGAGTTCACAATACGTGGCTAGGGAAGATACCTGTAAGAGTTGACAATACGTGGCTAGGGAAGATACCTGTAAGAGTTGACAATACTTGACAAGAAAAAAAAACCTGTAAAAGTTGACAATACTTGACTAGGGAAGATACTGTAAGAGTTGACAATATCTGGCTAGGGAAGATACCTGTAAGAGTTGACAATACTTGATTAAGGAAGATACTTGTAAGAGTTGACAATACTTGGCTAGGGAAGATACCTGTAAGAGTTGACATTACCTGTAACAATAAGGTCAGGTTTATACAAATGTGGCGCCATGTGACACCTATTGTACCTCTATTGTCATAGATACTATTTTTATCCTGAACATAAATAGCTTACACCTGAATATTTTAGCCTAGTTTCTGTTATCCTGGTGTATCCCAGACAAAGAGCGCCTGACAAAGTCTTTATAATTGACAATCCTGCTGTGTAAGCTTTTTCATGTTCACAGTGAAATAGTTGGCAAGTATGTGGAATTGTAACCCCCTCTTACTGACCCAGCTGATGTAGTTTAAAGTTATGCAAATGATGCAAGGTGTAATGGTACTCAAAATTTATCTCAAAGGGGTCAGAAATTGGAATATACCAAACACCTCTTATAGTTATAGTAATATCAGATGGATCAAGTAATATGAACAGTGATGATTAATATTAGGTGTGATATGTAATAAAAGTAGGGCAATATTAGTAATATATCATAGTAAAAGGTTGATATACCATAGTTACGAGGTTAATATTAAACTATTGTCATGGGTAACCAGGAAACAAGACAAGGAGGTGTTCTATAACCTAATTCAACTCTTCCTAAAATATTTTACATAGGTTACAAATTAACTTCCTTTTTCGAATTGAATTTCTCACTAAAATATGAATTTGATCTGACATTATTATGTTTCAAACATTCAGTTTTGAATAAAGTTCATCATCCTCTTTGAATTGGTTGAACCAACAATTTCTGACAAACACAAACCTATGCTAAACACAAATATTATCTTCCAAAAGAACTGCACTGTAGGTGAATCAGATAATAAATATTTTAATGATCTGATTGGATAAACAATGTTGTATGGATAAACTTTTCCAGATGTTCAAACTAAGTCCAGAGAGTTGAGGAGAGAAATTGACATTTTACCAAGATCAAAGGCTTAATGTCACCATTTTAACTCTCATTGTGTAATATCCAGATTGACAAGACAATGCAAACGTAAGCACTTGATCTGAAACTGTTTCCAACATTAAAGAAATTTCTAAATTCAAATTTCATTAAAAAATGTTAATTTTGACATAAAAGTTGGAGAAGTAGAGAAGAATAAGACAGACAATATGTTGTGTTACCACGGTTATTTACAACTTTAAATAATTTCCCCTGACTTCAGCTCACTGGCTACTCCTAATAATCTTTTGTCAAATTTTAACGAGTTTTCTCATCCTAGCCTCAAGGTGTTATCAGGTGACTCCTTTCCCAGCATGCAATTTTCAAAATCTGAAGGATAAAAGGTCGGTGCCGAGGGCTAGTCAAAGAGTTTAATGATCGGTATGAAAGTATCTTAAGGGGACAAGATAGTTGCCTGCCATTTTAACCATTTATCATTATATTATTGTTTTACATAGCTAGGTATTAATTAGCTTCAAAAGTACAATAACTCCTAATATGACCTTTTGAGGGAAATAACAGCCGGTTCTCGGTCAATCAACTTCTCACTTTCATTCGGTCAAAAATCATCAAGTTTGAGGATGTTCAATAGGAAGAAATCTGTCCTTCAAAATAATCAGCTAATATTACATAAATAACTTTGAGAACAAAATATTTCCTTAAGTTTATTTAAATGTCAATTAATGTCATGAAATAATACTTTCATGGCCAGGCTTTAAGACTTTCTTTGCCTGAGTGGAGCAGTTTCATCTGATGCTGTTCCTCAGATTCTACTGCATAATATGTCACAATCATTACATGACTTCAACACCAATTACTCAGTGTTTAGCAAACTGCAAGTCTCTGTTCTAAATGGACATGGCGCTTATAGATGTCATATTCTTCAACTTTCAGGAGAAAAAATTTTGATCGCATAACGCCTGTTAGAAAGGTGGATTCAATATAATTTCAATTTTCTAAATTTTCATCAGCAAATCCATCCTCTGATGAAATTAAAGAAATTTAATATTTTGATAGAAACAATGAGTCAGTAATCTATCTTCAAATTTAACGCCTTTTTTTCTAACACTAACATCATTCTTATAAAACTGAAACAATAATACGTCTTTTGGCCTGTGACTAGCCTAAAGTCAAATAAAAAAAAACTGTCAAACTTTCGATTCATAGTCGTCCGCCAGCAATGTTTCACACTATAAAGAATTACCATGTTAATCAAGTGAAATTGAGGCTTGTCTTCTTGACGATTACATCTTATCAAGGTCGTGTGTGCGACACTCGACCCCCGTTTCTCATCTCCTACAATTGGACATGTTCATTGTTACATTCAATACAGTTTGTTTGTTATGGAAAATGAGAGACTTAAGAAGACTATCTTCTTTATGCTTCAGTGGCTCCCCCTATACATCAGGACATCCACGACATAATAGATTTACACATTAAAAATCCCCTTCATTATAACACAGTATCTTAATAATACATAACGGTTCTATAAGGATTCTTTTTTATACAAAGTACAATAAGAAACCTTTCTAGAGAGAAAAAAACGAATATGACCCTTAATAGTCTTCACGTTTTAGAAGTTCTACTGTGTCTAACATGATGCATAGATTACTAGATAAAAAATTCTGATCAATTTTATTAACTTCAATTCTTATTCACATTACTCAATATAGATATTAACCTCCATACACCTCTTAGATGAAACAATTTAACATTTACTGTCAGTGTCTTTTCAACAATTCCTAAAAGGGACAATAAAACATGACTGGAAATATTAATGTCCACAACCAAATGTTACATTTAACCTTAAGTAACCTTGGCACAGGACATCACAGAATTTCCTAAAGCCCTAAAATCAACATATTAACTTTGGATAATTTGGTCATATATGGTGGACAATGCCGAATCCTAATCTGGTGATAAAATTTGACGCATTAAGGATTTCTGTTTACTCAACAATAGCCCCTTAAAATTTGACAATCGGCAGCAGCAACACCTAAAATAAACAAATTAGTGATTACGTAGAATTGCCCCTTTCAGATAGAACACAAATCCTTTTTAGAAATATCTGTCAATTTCTGGGCCTTGTCAATCAAAAATGTCTGATCAGCGAAGTCCCTTTTATCTGATCTTATTGTTCATATAACTCCTTCAAACCAAAGGTCGTTGTCCATCTTTTAACAGCCCCAGTTTGACCTTTCTGGTCCAACGTGCTTCCATTGTGTCATTTATCATCTCCACCTTGAAAGTGACACCCCTAAATTTGTCAGGGACCCCTCTAGGTCCATTATCTGCCTAATGACCCTCAATGACCTAACATATTCTGTCCTAAGGATTAAAAACTAACAACTGTCCAGAGATGTGTTTGATTTTAAAATCTTGTCATTCAAGTGTTAAATTTGACAGATTTACCCCCAGTTAAGCTTGACCCAAACTGACCCCTGATTTGCATTTTAAGCCGGAGAAAGCTTCTTCATAGTTCAATCTGTATGATTATATATGGCACTTTTCTAGCTACAACTTAAAATATATTAAAATTTGATCTGAGATTAGCTGGTATAGCATTCTAACATGGAAAATCTTAAATCCTAAGAATTTTTCTTATCATCTAGAAAATATAAATATTCAGACAAAACTTTTCCAAAATACATAAATTAAATTTTGTATGACATCTCATCAATTATGCATAAATATGCAAATAAGGTGATTATTCCATCCATTGTTTTATGCAATGTCTTGGCAAATCTCTAATACAATACAGTAGTCTGATTGACACCATCCTTAATATCCCTTATTACACTTCCTTCTCAAACCTTTATAATGACGACAATAACCCCTATCATTACACCCAGTATCTCACCTCTGACCCTTGTTCACAGACACACGAGAATCTGATCTGAATCAAACAATAGGCATCAGAACCTTGGTGTCTGAAGGCGAGAAAACCTAAAACCTTACATTTCTTCTCTTATATTTCCTAATTTTTCAAATTCTTTAAATAATGAGCCCCTATCATCACGGCACTTGATCAGCCAATCAAATCTTGACATTTGACTTAACGAGAAAAAGTATTTTCCATCAAAGGTTATGATAAACAGGTTACCCCTATTCGAGATATTTATTACAAATGGCCTCATAAATATTTCATGGCTATTAAAAATATAATCAGCATAAAATCTATTAGAGTCTGTTCTAGTATGGAATAGATTATCTCATCTCTATTAACATTAAAAAACTTCAGATCCATGGAATAGCAAAAACATTTGAGTTGCAAAAGTAAATTTTCTGAGCTATGTACCGTAAGTACACATTTTTATATCATCCCTTTTTACACAGACAAAGTCTTTTCTAAGCATAACACCTAAGCCTAGGCCTTAACCAAAGCAACATGTTGAAGTTATGAAACCATTTTAGATAAATGCACCTTTTTACCTTAAATTTTTTTCAAACAGCCATAGAATTTGCAATTGTTTTCAAAATAAAAATCAGCTTTTGATGTATTTTTTTTGAGTAATTAATTTTAGTTGACCCATGTTTTGGTGACTGTGGCCCAGGCAACAACGGCAACAGATAAATGTTCATTATAAACTGTTACCTACTCACTACCAGTCACTACTTACCTGTTTGTAATATTAATACCTGGCCACACCCCCTTACAGGTGAGATCCAATCATACCTTTACTCTCAACCAATCGTTGATAGTTATTGATAGACATGAACTTTTAGTCTTTCTTTCTATAAGAAATCAAAATAAATATCAAAGAAAAGGGCATGTACAGTAGTTTGAAGTTAATTCAAATTTTTGTTTATCTTTTACTTTCAATTTGGTTTTGCAAGAATCATACAAAAAAATAAGCTAATCGTTATTATCCAGTCTTTTTTCCAGTGTACTCTCCATACCAAAGAACTGGATAATCAGGTTCATCAATCACCTGAGATAACCTGTCAGGTAGCTGTGTGATATTTGTTCAGTAATTGTTGATGTTTAATGAGGCGTGGTTTAGAACTGTAGAGAGATGTGTAGAGATAAATTACCTGAGTTAACAAGTATTTAGTAACAGTTTAATTACAGGTGATTAGAGGAGGTAAATATTTAATAAGATCAGGGATTACAAACACTAGATACTGATTATAAATGTTATATTAGCTGATAGGATACAATAATTAATAATATTAATATAAATATAATACTGGAAGAAATATAATTAGTAATTGATAGGAAGGGAAAGGTGTGAAATAGAATTATCTTTTTTGATTGTATTTTTATTACTACTGATGCTCAAAGGCCCTTTCATTTCAGCCTGTATATCAAGAGGCTAACAAAGGAATTATTCCACAATACATTTTCAAAGGCTAACTAAAACTTATTTAATGACTATAAAAGTTGTTTTCAATTGCAAAAAAATCTCATTTTTCTCATTCATTTTCTGATTAGTTTATAAGCTTATATATAATGTAAGCTAACTGATTGTGCTTTTTGAAATTTATTTTGATGTATACATTAGTTTTGTCAAAATGATTGTGTGATCTTCATATTCAAAAGACATAGGTTTATATATTCAGAGCATAAGCTTCATAATTCCTGATTAAAAAATATTAATTAAAATTCTTAATCAAAATAATATATGCTATGAAACATTAATCAAAGACTCTATATAAACTTAATAATGTTTATATCCCTTGGGAGAGATTGGTCACAATTTTATCAACAAATAGAATATAAATTCCCCCAAAACTTCAAAGGAAAATACTGACTGATTAAAGTAAAATGTTTATTTTATTATTAAATGGACTAAATACAGGTCAGTGTTTATTTTTATTAAAAGTTAAGGTAGACAAGAAATAAAGTGGTTTAAATGAGTCCAATATGGTGGCTAAGATTTCAGAAATAAAGAATTTATACAACCAGAGACAGAACAAAGAAGAAAGAAAATTGATCTAAATTCCAGCCTGAATGACGACCTGCAAAGTTTAGCTACCGAAACAGTAGCATGGGAGACCCAGGACAAGCCTGTAATACTTCAGTGAAAGTCGTGCTTTCTCACTCAACATTTAAACCAATCATAATACGACAAGAGACAGTGGAATTCCAGGAGACTGATGACCTCAAAACTTCTCTCTGGCATATTATTCTACTTGGGTATATCACGTGTCTTATACAATAACATATACAAGGTGAATCATATAATAATCTTCTACTAAATACACTGTAATAACATCTACACATAATAACCACTTGTTTTCAACCATTTCTTACAATATTTCTACAGTTCCTGATAATCAATAAAGAAATGGTTCCTTATATTTACCAAGGTAGCACAACGTCTACCAAGTTCATAAATAAATTAATAAAATTAGGCTCCAGTAGACCTGGCTGTGTCAAATGTAGATGGGGAATTGAAATGTCATACAAGGTTGCACAATATACCACTATTGATGACGTAATACCTGTGGTATATGAAATACTGTTATTCCACTTTGAAAACGAAATTATACTACACCTGGAAATTTACTCCCGACCCCATAATATTTCCCGAAAATTAATCAATAAATTTATAGACTTAGCATTATAAATCAAATTTAGAATCATGTTGTTACATTAAGCTAATATCATCTTTGCCTTGCTGTGGCATATATTTTTAAAAAAATGAAAAAGTTCAAAGAAAAAGGTGTGTATGGGAAAGAAATTTAACTGCAGGCAAATTCAAAGACAAAATGGTGCCCGTATAAATAGTCGCCACACTTGATTCGTCACGATAAAGAAATTTGACACCAATATTTATTTCCTATGGCTGTCTTCAAACTTATTTCATATCGACATTCGTTGTCAAAAAGCACCCCAAATAGATGTTGATAAATTGGTACAAATTGTGACCAAATACCAAAAGGTTGGAGAGAGGCTAATTATGTTAAATATATAGATAATTCATGAGGAATATTTCAGCATCCATTTGAGCTATTTATCTTCAATGCGGCATTGATCGACCACTTTCCTCCCCGATTCACGAAATCAACTGCCATCCTTCTTAATAAACGCTACGACCCAATTTCAATATCAACCTAGCGACATTTTCATAAACAATTCATTGCCAATATTAGTATAATTTATTCATTTTAAATTTTAATGTTATCACCTGGCCGTAAGACTCTTCTAAATTCCCGAATTTTTACGAATGACTCACAGAACTGTCAAAATCTGTGACCGTTGTCAACATGCCAGCGGTGGTGGAAATATGGTTCTCATCAACCAGTCACACAAAGCTTGAAAGAGGCCATATTAAAAGATGTGTCCACCTTCGCTTACCTAGACAAAGGTCCCAAACACAAATACAACAATATTCCGTCAAAGTAGCCATTCACCCGAGTGAAAATATGATCAAAATAACCTAAATTAGGGTTGGAACCACTGGTGTCAAAATAAATGTCCGCAAAGTATGACGAGCGCGCCAGGTATCCGAAGGTAAGAACCGTGTTAAGAAATCCCACCTCACCCCCGATCGCCTAATTTCAAGGCATTGTCATCAAGCTGATGTCACATGCAACCCATATTTAAATAATTCAATAAATTTAATTCAAATTCTTACCGTTTTTTCGTCGAGGATTCTGCTGTTTACGCCTTCCGTACCTGCCTCGTTCAGCCATGTTTCGTGTTTCAAGGTTTATAATGGAGTAATGCGCATGTACCGTTATAATGAACCGTTAGTTTCCGGTCAACTTAAATCACCTCGTGTCACCCTAGAAACCATTTACAGGACACAAATTTCCTACTTTCAAAATGTGTTTCCTGAAATTTGATGAACTTAATGAGATTTTATTGTTCACGTGATATAGACAATACACCGTTTACTTACTAAATACTTTAACCAAGTGCGCGTGTTAGCAGTTGATTTTTGGGGGTTTTAGATAAAAATTAATTAATTTGATTAGGCTAATAATAAGGATTAGATAATATAATAGCATAGCCTAGTCTGTATACCAGGTAGGCCCACCACACCCACCAGAGAAAACAATATTTTTTAGACAGAAATAAAAGGGGTTTATATTCTTCATTCAATTCTACAAGGTAGGCCTAACCCTTAAGATGTCATGATAGCCCTATGCAACATTTAAGCTCCATATTAGATTTTTTTTGTTAGTGTAGGCTAGGCCTAATACCAAATTTTGAGATACATACTAAATATTTTATAATTTTTGATATGTTGCATATACTCCGGTCAATATCCGTAGCGAAACTAAAAAATTGCCGGCTTACAGACCTATCCCCGTCATTTATTCTGGAAAATTAAAAATTTCGCGTAATTTATATAGGCCTATATATACCGTCGACACAGGCTGAAATAGGCTTATTTCAAGGGAGGAAAGGAAGAGTGGTGAAATATCAATACATATTAGTGCTAGTCCTCGAACAAACATTTTCGAAGACCGAAAAGCGACTCGCGCCACCTGATCAGAAGCTTAGAAATAATCGTCTGCTAGAGGATGGAACATTAGCACGAGACATTTCGCTCTGTCTATTCAGTTTGATGCTGTAAAGAAAATATGAAGTGTATGAATGTTACAATGAATAATCACAGTGACTGTTAAGATTTGGTGATTTTCTATTGAAAATATTAGTCGATTGTAGGAGTAAGTGTTGATATTGGCCTAGCTTTCATCACGCACCCAATCTATAGGCTACAATAAAATAGGCCTAGGCACTGGAGAAGTGACCAATTTGTTTTTGAGCAGAGGACAGAAAAACCTAGGACAGAGTACAAGTATTGTTCTGGCCTCATGACATATAAGATAAGAGTTTTACACAAATCTAAATCTCACCCCTTATACAAAATTAATATAGGCTATGTCCATAGATAGCCTACAGGTGCAAAATAAAACACATTTAGCAACGCTATGGGTTTCGTAACGATCTTAAAATGTGTCTTTATCATGGTATCTTTTTTAGTTTAGCAAATTCTTTTATCCTTACTGACTTTTTGGCCCAGGACGCTATCGTGTATTTTTTTAAAACTGTTTTACCCGGGACGTTAGCATGTATTTTGTAAACTTTTTGCCCTAGACGATGTCATGTTTGTTGTAAACTGTTTTGCCCCGGACATTATCATGTAGGCCTATTTCGTAAACTTTTTGCCCGAGACGATGTCATGTTTTTTATAAACTGTTTAGCCCATGTATTTTGTTAATTGTTTTGCCCAGGACGTTATATCATGTATTATGTAAACTGTTTACCATGGCGCTATGATGTAGCCTATTTTGTAAACTGTTTATCAAGGATACTATCTTCTTTTTTAGGTGTTTGAGAATCTTTTGCTGAAGAAGTTATCCTGATACTAGAAAATATCTTGCAAGGACGTTGATGAATGTTTTGTCGAAGACGTTATCCTGTTTCTGTTAATTTTTTTGCCAAGAAGTAATGCTGATTTCAAAAAAAGTTTTGTCGAGGACGTTATCCTGATTCCGAATAAAGATTTACCGAGGACGTTGATTCTAGACACTATTTTTCCATGGACATTAGCATTATTCTATAAACTGTTTTGCAATTACGTAATCGGGATACTAGAGAATTAGATGGATATCGTTTTGTTAAGGACGTTATCCTGATTCTAGAAAATATTTTGCCAAAGATTTTGTTTCTTATGTTATTGGTTACATTTTGCCCATGTTGTTCTGTAATGTTTCTGGATTATCTCATATTATCCTAATAACCCATTAGGTCCAGTTCATAATCATGTTTTTTTTTTTGGAGAATGCAATAGGATATTTTCAGGATTTGCTCAGGAAGCTATCATGGCTTTTAATAATGTTTACTTCCGGGTGTTACCAGATGTGCAAGGTGCAAGAAATGATTCGTTTTGTTATGACATAATACTGCATCAGGAGGATAACTAGTATGGCATTTTGATTACAGTAGTGAGTGTCACGTCACCAACGGGTTCATCCACTCGAAAAACACATGATTCCACTCTATGTTTTCCTTAGTAGCCCAAAACCTTTATTTCCAAACCATATGCATGTAAGAACTTGGGTCCTTTTTTTTAAATGAAAAAAACAAATAACATATTGTGAAATAAAGGATGAGAAGGGGATTGAAAGTGACAACCAAATAAATCGAATAGGGACTTGGAGACGTGATGATAGTGTAGATAAAATCGCCGGATAATTAAAGGTATCGAACCAAGTAATTGATAGCAAACAAACCCTTACATCTCACACATTTTACCGTCACAACATAATGGACGCGAAAATGCACGGCAGGTTGTGGGGTCCTCTGGGGTTACAACACCATCTGTGAGTCCTACTGAGACAAGTGGCACCGTCCAGGTTTCCCGTTGCCCCGAGCGATGGTTCTAACCATTATTTTAGATCAGGAAATATGATAAGTTCTGATAATGTCATTTGCAGATAAAAAAATAAAAGGATTTGAAGGAAAGATAAAAGAGACCGACTAATACGTTATCTTTTTCTAATTCGTTTGTTAGTAAAATAATATTTTTAGATTATTAGAAATTTAACAAAAAATGTCTGTGACAGGAATTTTTTTTTTCTCAGAAAAAGATGTCGGATTAGGCTACGCCTTCAATCCCTGCAACAAAAACATTGTACAATGCGCCTATCATCATGAATCCATAGATCGCCTGTCACCTGAACCCTGCAGGTTTGAATCAGGTGCCGAGTTGACGGTTTGCTGGTATGGTTTTTATCAAATTGACACGGTGATCAGACTGGACGGACTCCCTACTATTCTGGATAATTTAACATCAATATAAAATGTAGCAAATGTCAACCCTTACTGCCAACACTAAAGTTAACAAAGGAAGAGACCGGATAATAATAGTATAAGTTAATCTCGAACAATGAATCACTTATGTAAAACAGCCTCATGCAAGCAATTGTAAACGACACACAACATGTCTGGTCGTGTGGTCATCATACCTGGTAGAACCATGGGCAGTGCGGATACGAACAACGGAACGAGACCTGGTGAATCTCCGGGGGTTATGCTATAACAAGGGAATGAGATTGAAATAGCCAACGACATTTGAAGGGTACACTCGTCTCTTACGCTCATATATTACCCCCCTTGGTTATCTGCTGAATAAAAATTCATATTGCCGCCTCTCGGACACGTGACCCTCCGCAATGGCAGATTTTATGACGTTTGATGACTGAATCTGGGTATTTAGTCTTTGAAATTTCAGACGCATTCAAATGGTGAAAGAACAATACGAGTGGACAATTCTGACTTCGCGACATTTTAAAGTAGGTATTTAACATTGAGTCGTCAATTAAAGTCACAGTTGGGGAGAAATTAAAGCATGTAACTATTATAATAAATTATGAATCGATGAAGATTTTAATAACTTTTATTAATCTGATACTTGTAATATTTCCATCTACAGCATCTTTGACACTTCAATTATCGCCCCTTGATTAATGGTCACTTTTAAACGTGTCGTACCTGTTTACCAAGAGTGGCTTGATTGGTATCACGTGTCTGATAGACAGGAAGTCGGCTGCTCCTAAAACAATGGCGTTAGCTATTATTTGCTTTTCCAAGAATTTTGATTCAAAAGTCGTATTGTCTTGACCTCGACAACGATCGTCTGTCTGATACAATCTATTGGCTATACACAGGTGGAAATTCATTGAAAAAGTCTTATGACGCCACTTTGACTACTAAATTATGTTGATCTCTACAGACCAAACCATTGTTGCTTTGCTGGAAATTTAGTTAGTGGACAAGTCATACCCAAGTGTCCATATCCCACTTTTAATTGATTTTACTAATTTAACAATGTATATCAATAAAATATCAATTTCCTCTATACTTAGCCCCACTCTCCAACAACCTCAAGTTCTATGAAATCTAGAGAAAAGACAATATGAATTTGCATTTCAAGTCTTCATCGTTTTCAAAGACCAGAAAATGACTGGTAATATTGGGTTGTCAGAAATCACCATTTATTTATTTATGAGAAAAATACTAAATTAATCTTTCATTCCAATTTTATTTCATTTTCATTTCGCAGATGTTTCAGACAACTCCATCTTCCATTGTTCTCATGTTGTTTCTGTGTCAATCTTGAAGAGAAAAAATTACAGTCATTTGCAAGTTCTTGAAATTGCTTCGTTAATTTTCGCCTTGAGCCTCGGACATGTCAAAAAGTAGTTCCGGTATTAGTGACACCCAATTTACACGTTTTGTCAAAATATGATAATTAGAAAATGGAAAACAAACGTGCATACGCGTGAAGGCTTCGATGTGAGAGAAAATGAGGAAATTTGGATCTCAAGAAGTTGTCATCGGAATACTGACTCATGTCTCTTCTTTGTTTCACGTTCGCTCTTCTATTTTATTATCAAAGAGCGCGTGAATGAAAAAGTAATTAAAGAAATTGACAAGGGTGCAATCTGGGAATAAACATTTATAATTTTTATTGTTTCATTCAGTTTTCTTTCTCACAAATTTTACCAGATTAGGTTACAAAAAATTATTTATACAATTCATAATTCCCAGAACGTCATCTATCAAATATCGGTCCGAAAAACTATAATGTCATTTGAAAATTACTATCTATTTCAATTTTTGCTTTCTTTTCCTTATCAGCTTGATACAATCTATTTTAAAAATCAAATGCACATGT